ATTCAAAAGTACATTAACAAATAAACTTGTAATCATTGTATAATTTCTGTTAAAACCATTTGTAGATTTTTAAAACACATTGAAAATGTAATGACGTTTGTAAACAATAACTAATGATCCGTTAAGCATTATATAATGTTTGTTAATGATTTATTAATGAAGCTTTTAATCATTGTAAACCATCTGTCAACATCATTTGAAGATTTAAAAAAAAAAAGCATGATCATATGAATTGAAAGATTGGTGAGAATGGTGACATTTGTAATTATTTCAATTTACATGAAATAATGATCTGTTAATCATATTGTATATTGTTTAATAAGTTTATTAGTTGACATTAACAAGCACATTATCTCATATTTCTAGATATGTGAATATATATTAATGATTAGTTAAACATTATTATATGTTTATAAACATTTACAATTGATGAATAGTTTCCACTTTAGATTGGGTACTGCAAAAACATTAACAAATTATTTATACATAATTTAAGATGCGTAAATAGTAGAAGTCTACACAACAAACAAAGACCAAATATATGACCTTTACAGATTGTGATTATGAGTTAATGAATATATTAACATGAATAGTTTGTGAAGTGCTGAAAATGACTAATTAAGCTATATTTTCACAACATTTGTAAATGTAAAAATGAGCATTAGCTAATATGTGAACTGAAGTTTAATGGAATTTGTAAGAATTCAAAAGTACATTAACAAATAAACTTGTAATCATTGTATAATTTCTGTTAAAACCATTTGTAGATTTTTAAAACACATTGAAAATGTAATGACGTTTGTAAACAATAACTAATGATCCGTTAAGCATTATATAATGTTTGTTAATGATTTATTAATGAAGCTTTTAATCATTGTAAACCATCTGTCAACATCATTTGAAGATTTAAAAAAAAAAAGCATGATCATATGAATTGAAAGATTGGTGAGAATGGTGACATTTGTAATTATTTCAATTTACATGAAATAATGATCTGTTAATCATATTGTATATTGTTTAATAAGTTTATTAGTTGACATTAACAAGCACATTATCTCATATTTCTAGATATGTGAATATATATTAATGATTAGTTAAACATTATATGTTTGTTTGTTGATTTATAACTGAAAGTTATTATAAAGTGTTACCAAAAAACATTTGAATTAGACTTTTTTCTAAACTTTTATTCAATTAAACTTTGCCCCCATCAACCACTGTCACTTATTCAAACACATCAGTCAGAATAAACCCCAAGAAAAATATATTTTGCTTTTGAAGTGTACTTCATACTTTACCCGGTTACACTGACATTATAAAATTATTGTTAAAATGCTTAATAAGGTGGACAAAATTATAACAGGTTTGTAATGCACTACTTAAATTATTTCTTTTTCTATTACTACTAATACTACTATGTATAATCTCACTGTCCACTCTAAGTCTTCTGATTATCACCAAAGTCAGTCATCGCACCATGTTTGAACATTGACTATTGTAAGGAAAAACAATATTTTATATGAAGTAAAATATTATTATATACAGCATATTATCTTTCTGTAAAGCATCAAAGTAGTTACATGTCACTGTGATTGAGTGATTGTTCCCTGGAAAGAAAAAAACATACTGGACAACATGCATATTGTAAAATAAAAATCAAGAGCTTGTGGAAAATTCATTTCAGCTACTATGCAGGAGTATGCAAATGTATTTTTAAGTACACCAGGCAAAAAGATTTGAAAATATTTTACTCATTTGGTTTTCTGTACAGTCTTTCAGAGACTGCACCTTTATTTAAAAGAGCTGCAACTGTTTATTACACTTGCAAAACATTAACAAGCAGAGAAGAGCAGTCACTGTTAGTATTTGCGCTAACAGCAGAGATCAAGAACCCAAGTGAACACCACACCTATTTTGTACTGGTTTGTGCTGTGCATATTGTGCTGCATCATACGGTTTGTGTTATTGAGGTTAAAAGGAAAAGATAAATGACATGAATAGTCAGAGAGAGACCGACTATTTCTCTCTCTCTCTCTCTCTCTCTCTCTTTCTCTGACTAGTCATGTCATTTATCTTTTCCTTTTAACCTCAATAACACAAACCGTATGATGCAGCACAATATGCACAGCAAAAACCAGTACAAAATAGGCGTGGTGTTCACTTGGGTTCTCATAAAAAGCACTTCAAAGGAGCAGGTTGGATGACCCAGACTGATGAACTTAGAACATGGCAGCAGTGAAAGCATGCAATATCTTGATCACCGGAGCCAACCGGGGCTTGGGCTTAGAAACTGTTAAGCAACTCTTGGAGAACTCCTGTCAAAAACATATTTTTGCTACCTGTCGTGACCCAGATGGACCAAAGTCTGAGGTGAGTTGTAAATAATTAAACAAATAGAAACACCAGGAGAAATCCTAATGTGCCTTGTTTAATTATGCATTTTATCTTTCTTAAGGCTTTGAGAGAACTGGCGAGAAAGCATCCAAGGGTGATCACTATCATACGTCTTGGTAAATGTGCATGTGTCCTCCTTTGTGTATTTAAGACTTTAACTAGAATGTTTTTTGGAGAATTTCAAAGAGATTTTTAGTGTGTTTTTTATATTATTAAATTTCACTGCTTATCACTTTAGGACTAATATTTGTTCTGCTACTATTAGATGTTGATGATCCGTGCAGTATCAAAGAGTCTGCCAAAAAAGTGGGATCTCTTCTGGGAAACAATGGTTTGAACCTGCTTGTGAATAATGCTGGAATCGTGGCAAGAGGCACAATTCATACCAGTCGTGTTGAAGACATGAAAAACACCTTTAACACCAATGTTATAGGACCCTTATTAATCATTAGGGTAATGTAGTATTCATTGCTAAGAGCTCTAAAACAAAAAGTTGTCCTTTGTAAGTCATTAAAAAGATACTCCACCCCAAAATGAAAATTTTGTCATTAATCACAAGAAAACAAAAATAATGACTTTATTCAACAATTCGTCTCCTCTGTGTCTCTCCGCGTCACCGTAGCACCATTTTGGAGAACATCCGCTGAACGCAAACTGCGTACCCTATTCTGTGTCAGCCGCGACACAAGGATACGTTTTCTACGTGTATTTACGCTTTGATTTGAACAAAAACAGCGCATCCGTGTAGCGCGGCTGACACAGAACAGTGTACGCAGTTTGCGTTCAGTGGATGTTCTCCAAAATGGCACTACGGTGACGCAGAGAGACACAGAGGAGACGAATTGTTGAATAAAGTCGTTATTTTTGTTTTCTTCGCATACAAAAAGTATTCTCGTCACTTCATAACGTTACTGTTGAACCACTGATGGCAGATGGACTATTCTGACGATGTCTTTCATACTTTTCTGAACCTTGACAGTGTAATTTACTTGGCAGTCAATCGGACAGTCACAAGCCTCCCGGTTTTCATCCAAAATATCTTAAATTGTGTTCCGAAGACGAATGAAGCTTTTACGGGTTTGGAACGACATGGGGGTAAGTGATTAATGACAAAATTTTCATTTTGGGGTGGAGTATCCCTTTAAATAATGAAGAAAAATTGTTGGAGCTAAACGTCTAGGCTGGGGCTTTTGCTATTGTGCCACTGACAAAAGTTTGTGAACAGACTATTAAAATGAGTACTTTAGGGGAAGAACTGCTTTTTTTTATCAGTAGTAGTAGTAGTATGAAGTAATGGAGTTGATCTGTTTTCTAGACGACTACTCAACTAGTCTCCCGCTGTGCTGCTACCTGTTGTGATAGGGTTGCTTGTTTGTCTCAGTGACTCTCTGGAGCTGTGCTGGTGGGGGCCAAGCCCCAGGTTAGGGTGGCCATATGTGCCATTTATACGGGACACGTCCTGGCCAGGATTTTTATATTGCCTAAAACATCCAAAGTAGTTTGACAAATAACATGCAGGCATTGTACATAATCGACCAATTATGGTGTGTGAGAAGGTGGGATCTACAGAGAAAATCAAAGCGATGCAAATACGCGCACGTGTAAGGTGTGTTTGTTCGTTCGTTCGACTTAAAGCGTCGCTGCGCAGACCGATCATTGAATGACATCAAAGTACCGCAAGAGGGATTCAAAAGCATAAGGAGCCATCTGCTCTGCTCTCGCGAATGTCATACAGTGATTGATCTGCACAGTGCAAACAGCCCAAACATGGATATTTTAGGCAATATAGTAATCCTGGCAAGGACGTGTCCCGTAAAAATGGCCCATATGGTCATCCTACACTGGTAGGTTCAACCAAGCCGGCCAGGTCCCAGGGTAGAGGCCAGACCAAAGGTAGCACCTGGTCCTCCAGGCTGGGGGTTGGGTGTAGGACTAAAAATTACATCCTATAAAATCTATATTGTTATGGAAACATCATAATGAGTTGCCAGAATAAGCTACAATATGCAGTAGACTTGATGCCAATAGTCAAAAATCATTTTAATGCTATCTTCATGATGTAATTCTTTCTCTTTCTTTTATGCAGGAGTACCTACCATATCTACAAACAGCAGCCAAAGCCAGCGGGACACCAGGCATGTCCTGTAATAAAGCAGCTGTCATCAATATCTCCTCTGTTGCGGGATCCATGACCAGAAAGCCTTCCAACCACATCCAGTCCCCAGTGTTGCCATATTCCATGAGCAAGGTACACCAGAGTCCTACTTTTTGCACTGGATTCAATACATTGCCCTTTATGTATGTCCATGTATAACACTGATGCTATGTATGTCAGGCAGGTTTTAACATGCTGACTGTGTTAGCTGCTGAGGAGTTAAAGGCGGATGAGATCCTCTGCATGGCCCTTCACCCAGGATGGGTGAAAACTGAACTGGGTGGAGAAAAAGTAAGTGTAGATCCCTTGAATCCATGTTAAGTGTAATGCAGCAGGTGCTTTTGATTTCTGCATAGTTTCTGTCAAACATATTTTTTCACTATTTCTTTATCAAGTTTTGTTCATGTCATATTGTGACTATTCCAGTCAAGTTATTAACATTTTGTTACACCAAATTTGCATGAAATCAGAAAATGAGTGTGTGACAGCACTACCTACTGGCCAAAGTGTAGTGCAGCAGTGTAGCACATCATTTCATTAGCATGCTAACTTGTCATTTATGCTTTACCCTCTCTTTTCTCTCTCTTGCTCCAACTTTTATGAGTCCATCAGACAACTCTAGTACGTTAGCATCAACAGTCACAGTGAATCATGGCTGTTTCTATGTTGCTGTCACTTGCACTGCTTGCCACATGTTTAATGTAGTCTTCAATGTCAGTGATGAGGAATTTACATGTGATTAATGCAGGGAAATAGTCATGCGGCCAGAGAACATTTCAGAAATCGAGACATGCATCCAAAGTTTAATTGAGGACAGTAAAAATGCAAGGGCTTTTGATATGGCTTTGGATGTGACTAGCTTAGCGAATCATGTACATTGTTCAGTTCCAGTTGCAGAGCTGGCGCAGCAGGGTGACTGTGGAGCAGCATAGTTGAGGGACAAAACACCGCTCTCCTGTTCCCACCAGAACTTCAAACAGTTTCTTTCCACTGTGTAACCCTGAACACTTTGATTAGCTGCACCCAATGAAAAGCACCCTAGTTGTCAGCAGAGGTGGGCATAAATACATGAAAATGTATTTAAAATAAAAATACAAAATATTGTGTGGAAAAATGTTATTAAATACAAATACAAAATATGTGGGAAAATGTATTTAAACACAAATACAGTATTTTGTATTTTGAAAGTACACAAAATACATGTGAAATTGGCCATCCAGTGCAGGTATCCCTATAGGCTGAAACCTATCTGGACCTATTCTGAATGCAAAAAAAAAAACCTTCACAAACTTCTCATTTTTTTTTTTTTTTTACTTCTGATACTCTCAGATGGGCATAAATACATGAAAATGTATTTAAAATAAAAATACAAAATATTGTGTGGAAAAATGTTATTAAATACAAATACAAAATATGTGGGAAAATGTATTTAAACACAAATACAGTATTTTGTATTTTGAAAGTACACAAAATACATGTGAAATTGGCCATCCAGTGCAGGTATCCCTATAGGCTGAAACCTATCTGGACCTATTCTGAATGCAAAAAAAAAAACCTTCACAAACTTCTCACAAATCGATTGTTTGACAAACTACTTCCTCTCACCACTGCTTTCTGATGGTTTGGAGAACAATTACTCTGAGTCGCCCCTGTCGTTTCACAGAATTATATAAGAGCGAGCACATCAATTATAAAAGCCTCATCTACTTAGGGAGGAGCGCGCAGCCAGCAGGTACGCGCCGTAGAGCCAGGTGAAAGAGTGGCATTCCAACGGATGATGTAGGATGTATAGACACTGACACAATTTTCATAATTTTGGCTCTGTATGCCACCAGAACAGAAATTATTTTTATTAAAAATAAAAGGTAACGCTTTAGATTACAACCCGCAAAGACCTAAGTATACTGAATTTACGGTGTACGTTTCTGTAATTATAGTGTACATGTAAAGAACGCACATGTAGGTATAATACGTTTGGGTAATAAGGGGATAACAACTAGATACGCAACCTGCAAAGAACTGCGTAAGTAAACTGAAGTTACAGCATAACTTTTTTGTAATTACCTATTTAGTACCTCCGTGTAAGTATAAGGAAATAATATGCGACGTTTGGGGAATAAAGGGGTAACAACCTGTAAAATTACAAATCATTTATACTGTAAGTATTTTGAAACTAAGGGATACCTATTCTATATTAAGTGGTATGTATATGGCCTAAACAACAATCTTATATTTGGGAGTGATTTAGAAAGAGGATATATTTTTTTATAATTTTATATTGGTATTTTATAGGCCTAGGTATTTTTTAACCATGGGGTACATATTCTATTATTAAAGGATACATGATGGAGATTTGTTGTTATTGAACAACAAAACTGGACATCTAGTGAAATGAGTTAATGAGTTTCTGCTATGATTTATAATTCACGACTCACGAGTCTACTTACCTTATGAAAGCTTATTCGTAGATCTCAGCAACTTCACACCAGGAACTTCCCAACACCACTATCACCAAATAACTTTGCATGATATACCATCAAGGTTCAGTGCAGCTTAAAACAAGCTTACCTCTTTCCAGCTGTTCGCAGTAAAAATAAATGATACAACATTTGTATTTCCGTGGATGCATACTGTGATATTTTTATAGCCATCAAACAATTAAATTAAAACTAGTGCGATATTTTTCCATGTAGTTACAGGGTAAATGCAACATTTGCGGGCTGTAATTTAAAGTGTTGCTTGTTACCTCCTTGTTCCATGTAGTTACAGGGTAAATGCAACATTTGCGGGCTGTAATTTAAAGTGTTGCTTCTTACCTCCTTGTTCCATGTAGTTACTGGGTAAATGCAACATTTGCGGGCTGTAATTTAAAGTGTTGCTTTTTACCTCCTTGTTCCATGTAGTTACAGGGTAAATGCAACATTTGCGGGCTGTAATTTAAAGTGGTGCTTGTTACCTCCTTGTTCCATGTAGTTACTGGGTAAATGCAACATTTGCGGGCTGTAATTTAAAGTGGTGCTTTTTACCTCCTTGTTCCATGTAGTTACAGGGTAAATGCAACATTTGCGGGCTGTAATTTAAAGTGGTGCTTGTTACCTCCTTGTTCCATGTAGTTACAGTGTAAATGCAACATTTGCAGGCTGTAATTTAAAGTGTTGCTTGTTACCTCCTTGTTCCATGTAGTTACAGGGTAAATACAGCATTTGTGGGCTGTAGTTTAAAGTGGTGCTTGTTACCTCCTTGTTCCATGTAGTGGGGGCGGGGGGCTCGTCATGCTTGTCATGTGCCACAGCAGCCACAATAGCACTGTATAACTGATATAGGCTTATGTTTTTTTTTATTTTTTTTTTTATTCAAAATATTTCCAAACGTGTTAACTATATCAGGAAATATCTAGATTCTCAAACATGTGTAAGTAAATGCATTTTTCACCAGATTGTTATTTGATCTATAATGGGTGACAAAGTAGAGTAATAAGGTAGTCTATTAACTACACATAAAAACCTCGACTTTTTACTTAAGTAGGCCTACCAGATGTGTCATTCCATAAAATATTTTTAATACGACTTTGTATTTAATGTGAATTTAATAACTATATTGTAAGTTACTATAATGGGCTATAACATTTTCATCTCACAGAGAGCAAAGAACATTTACATTATCAAAGAACATTTTCACTTCAGTCTAGCCAGAGTTCAGGCACTCTCAAAAACTCCCATTTAAATCACTGAAGCTGTCTACACTGTGAAATGAATATCTTACTTACATTCGTACACACGCACATCTGCACAGTCAGCAAGCAAGTGAACAAAACACCGCGTTCAGCGATGACTCATCTGAACATCTCTGATTGGCCATTGCATTCATAAGCTCAACAGAATCGTGTGTGATTGGTTATAATGCAGCGTTGTACAAACGCGTCTGTCTCTGGCTGAGCGCCAGCCAAAGCGCGAACGCAGATTTGAATAGCAGCTGATGCTGTGCCGCACTGAACGATCTAATCACACCAGTGTGATTGTATCAAATATAAAAAATATTATTCGGCTATTTTTTGTCTTTTGGAAGCTGCATTTAAAATCCACTTGGCTCAGAAATCTGAAGGGGCACGTGCCCCCTTCACTTTGAATGGGCATGACGCCTCTGACAGGGTAAATGCAACATTTGCGGGCTGTAAATTAAAGTGGTGCTTGTTGCTCCCTTATTCCATGTAGTTACAGGGTAAGTGGCTCCAACAAAGGCAACAGATAATAAAAGATTACAATTTATTACACCAGTTCAGGAAAAAAGCAAAGCAACTCCATACTTATACAGCTCATACAGTTAAACCAAATTCTTTTTAAAAGCTTGTTTAAGAGCAAGTTGCTTTGCTTTTTTCCTGAACTGGTGTAATAAATTGTAATCTTTTATTATCTGTTGCCTGTGTTGTTACTGTTGTCATATTGTGTATGATTTTAATTAAAAAACCCATTTTGGGTTCATTTAACCCAGCAGTAGGCCTGCAGTAAATTTCAAACAATATTTGAATTAAATAAAACAGTCCATCATGTTTATTTGATATATTACTAGATATATAATGTATGTATGTATGACCTACTGTATAAACAATCGTTTCAGAGCAATTTGTTGGAGCCACTTACCCTGTAACTACATGGAATAAGGGGGAACAAGCACCACTTTAAACTACATAATAATAATAATAATAGTAGTAGTAGTATAAAACAATTATGTTTCCAAAAGTAAGAATAAACTACGAATTCAAGTAATATTTTCAGTCATCTTATAAAAAGTGAGCCATCCTACTTTTAAAATCACTTGCTATGACAACTAATAAAAAGTTTATCACGAAATTCTTGTAAAACTTTAAAAAACATTATTGAAAGAAAAATTGGACGTTTCATATCATAATAAAAT